GTTTTACACATTATATTGTAATGTTTTTGCTTCTAACAAGGTCCTTCTATTTTATTTCTAGAGCACCAATCCAGATCTTAATACGTATGAAAGTCCTGCAGAAATTCCTCCAGCTGTTCCTCCAGCTGTTCCTCCAGCTGTTCCTTTGACATCAATCTACTGTACGGTGCAGCTCGACAAAGGTCTTGCAGCAGAAGAGGAGAGCAGAAACAAAGATAAGCCAGAGACAGTGTACACACAGATCAACAAAGTGCCCAAACCAGATGATGAAGATCCTACAGTCAACAGCTGAAAAACAAACATGTTTTATGCTTTAAAAGATTAAAAAATAAAAACTGTAAATACAGAAAACTAGTAGATTTCTAACATGATCTCATGCACTTCAGCAGGTTTTGTCACATACAGAGCTTCAAGTAAATATGAAACCTTTCTACTAATTTAATTTTAACTACGTTTATTTATCGGTGCATTTACAGATATTTTTGTATATAATTTTTAAAAGTTGCTATAAAAACAAATCATTTACACAGAGCTTTTATTTTAATAACCCTAATCTTTTCAGTTCGGTCACTGCAGCAGAAGTAAGAATTACAGCACGCTCTAGCTTATTTTGCAGATACTGTCCAGGAAAATATGGTGATTGATGCCTATTCTCATGAAGCATAAGTTTCTAAAATTCAAACAATGATCTAGTCCTGGCTTGAATTAAAAATAAAAGTATATTTTCTCTAGTTTCAGTTCTTTCTGGGTTTTGAATTTTTTTTCAAGGTTTGACTAAAATGGCTACAAGTTCATCATTTCTCAACACATAGGCAACAATTCCAGGGACATTAAGGTGGGGAAATAAAATCTGCCCCGCTGTCTTGTCAGGTGAATCAGACTYATTCCTGTGGTTGGGGAACAAATGAATTCAGGGAATACCTGCCTTGTACCAACACTAGAATCTCCTGCCACATTCATTTAATACAGATAATGTTGCAGCTGTTGTAAGTCAGTAATTTGTGATGAATTGTGGTCTGGATGTGTTCATGTATTCTACTTCTAGTTTGTTGAAATACATTAATCTACACACTGTTAATATCTACCTATGTTTCAGCTCTGCAGTCAKTTTGACATCCAGCAACATCACACACTGAGGACATTTCACTGTCACAATATAAAACACCAATTAAACTAGTTTAGAAGTACAGGTGCYGGTCATAAAATTAGAATATCAAGAAAAAGAGGAATTATTTCAGTAACTCCATTCAAAAAGTGAAACTTGTACATTACAGTATATTCATTCATTACAGACTCTCAGTGTGCCCCAGGGCAGCTGTGGCTACAATGTAGCTTACCACCACCATCAGTGTGTGAATGGGTGAATATCTGAAGTTTAAAGCAGCTTGGGGTCTGGAGGGACTTGATAAAGCGCTTTATAAGTTCAAGCCATTACCCATTTGATATATTTCGATGTTTATTTCTTTTATTTTGATGATTATAACTGACAACTAATGAAATTCCCAAATTCAGTATCTTAAAAAAATCTGAACATTACTTAAGACCAATACAAAAAAGGATATTTAGAAACGTTAGCCAACTAAAAAGTATAAACATGAAAGTATGAGCACAGCACTCAATACATACAGTAGTTGGGGCTCCTTTATCCTGGATTACTGCAGCAATGCGGCGTGGCATGGAGTCCACCAGTCTGTGGCTCTGCTCAGGTGTTCTGAGAGTCCAGGTTGTTCTGATAGTGGGCTTCGTCCAGCCGTTTGAGTCGTTGTGTCCTTGGGCAAGACACTTCACCCGCTTTGCCTACTGATGGTGGTCAGAGGGTCTGGTGGCACGCCTCTGTCAGTGTGCCCCAGGACAGCTGTGGCTGTAGCTTATTACCATCATTGTGTAAATGTGTGTGTGCATGGGTGAATGTCTGAAGTGTAAAGCACCTTGGGGTCCAAGTGGACTTGAAAAGACACCATATAAGTTCAAGCCATTTACCATTTACCATTCAGCTCTTCTGAGTTGTTGAGTCTGGTGTATCACAGCTTCCTCTTCACAATACCTAATACATTTTCTATGGGGTTAAGGTCAGGAGAGTTTGCTGGCCAATTAAGAACAGGGATGCCATGGTCCTTAAACAAGGTACTGGTAGCTTTGGCACTATGTGCAGGTGCAAAGTCTTTTTTGGAAAATGAAATCTGCATCTCCATAAAGTAAGTCAGCAGCAGGAAGCATGAAGTGCTCTAATGCTGCGTTCACACCAAACGCGATTTCAGCATCAGGAGCATCAGGTTTACATACAAAGTTTATGGTGGATGCGCTTCAAGC